GATGGGCTCGAAGACAGTGCGAGGAGGAAAGGTACATATTGGTTGACTGAGGGAGAACGAGGGGCAGAGTGGGAGGAGAGGAGAGGAGTGAGTTAGGCTTGGGTGATGCATGTCAGGAGGGTAAGAAGAGGGACGGCGAGATTGACTGTGCTGAGGGGAGAAGAAAGACAAGAGTAGATGCAATGTGAAAGCTGATGCGCATGGGCACATTCGAGTTCAGTGGCTTTTAAAGAAAAAAGGTGGGAGGCACATACACGTAAACAGCTTTTTCATATAAGGGACCAAGATCCACATTCACATACGCACGGCACGTGCCTTATCAAGGGCGGCAGACAGCCAGGCCATGCACGCGCGCTTGCTCACTCCCACACTCACAAAGCCCTCCACCTGCCAGGGGGGTGGGAGGACGAATGGAGAATGGGGCACACAAGGCAACTTATGAGGCGCCTCAAAAGTCGCGCGCTTGCTCACTCCCACACTCACAAGCCCTCCACCTGCCAGGAGGGGGAAGAACAGGCGGCAAACAAGACATACGCGATAAGGAAAGAGAGGGGGAGAGTGTGTGGCGAAGAATTAGCTGGATGAGGAGAGAGATGGTGGTGGGGGGCAATATGAGGCGTCATTCATCCATCACTGATCAATCAACATCCACTCATACATCATTCACTCATACATCATTCACTCATACATCATTCACTCATACATCATTCACTCATACATCATTCACTCATACATCATTCACTCATACATCATTCACTAATACATCATTCACTCATACATCATTCACTCATACATCATTCACTCATACATCATTCACTCATACATCATTCACTCATACATCATTCACTCATACATCATTCACTCATACATCATTCACTCATACATCATTCACTCATACATCATTCACTCATACATCATTCACTCATACATCATTCACTCATACATCATTCACTCATACATCATTCACTCATACATCATTCACTCATACATCATTCACTCATACATCATTCACTCATACATCATTCACTCATACATCATTCACTCATACATCATTCACTCATACATCATTCACTCATACATCATTCACTCATACATCATTCACTCATACATCATTCACTCATACATCATTCACTCATACATCATTCACTCATACATCATTCACTCATACATCATTCACTCATACATCATTCACTCATACATCATTCACTCATACATCATTCACTCATACATCATTCACTCATACATCATTCACTCATACATCATTCACTCATACATCATTCACTCATACATCATTCACTCATACATCATTCACTCATACATCATTCACTCATACATCATTCACTCATACATCATTCACTCATACATCATTCACTCATACATCATTCACTCATACATCATTCACTCATACATCATTCACTCATACATCATTCACTCATACATCATTCACTCATACATCATTCACTCATACATCATTCACTCATACATCATTCACTCATACATCATTCACTCATACATCATTCACTCATACATCATCCACTCATACATCATTCACTCATACATCATTCACTCATACATCATCACTCATACATCATTCACTCATACATCATTCACTCATACATCATTCACTCATACATCATTCACTCATACATCATTCACTCATACATCATCCACTCATACATCATTCACTCATACATCATTCACTCATACATCATTCACTCATACATCATTCACTCATACATCATTCACTCATACATCATTCACTCATACATCATTCACTCATACATCATTCACTCATACATCATTCACTCATACATCATTCACTCATACATCATTCACTCATACATCATTCACTCATACATCATGTCGAAGAGAAAGGCCCCGCCCTCGCTTGGGCGCAGCCGATCTCGCCGTCAACGAGAAGTTCGCGACGGTTTGGTCGACGAAATGGGCTTCTACGTTTCGACGGAAGTTGCAGTGGAGCGATCTCTGCGCGACGAGCTCCCGTCGAAGAGCTCTGCTCGACGATCCTGGTCGAGGAACTCTGGTCGAAGAGTTCGGGTCGAGGAACTCTGGTCGAAGAGTTCGGGTCGAGGAGCTCTGCTCGGCTAACGCTGTTCGACCGAGCGATGTTGAGCTGATCGACCGAAGTTGCAGAATTGTGCGAAACTCTGCGGAGGCGTACGAACTTTCGCCCAGGAGATTTTGGCGAAGTTCTACCTGCGGAACGGCAGAACGTGCTCGACGGTGCGCACCTAACGAAACCGACGACACGTTTTCTACCTGGCACCTGCGCAATGTGCCTGACGGTGAAACCGCCAACCTGCACCTACTTGGTAGGTGCGCACATCTGCGCAGATAGACAACCTGCGACTGCAGATAGTTACCTGCGACTGCAGATAGTCACCTGCGACTGCAGTGCTGGCAGACCGCGCGAAGTGCAACGTTGGCAGATCACTCTGCTGCAACGTTGGCAAGCCGCTCTTCCGCTGCGCTGGCAGACTTCGCCCTTGCTAGGTGTTGAATGCCATTCTAGTCATTCTCATTCTGCATGCCTCAATTGTACTTCCAACTTTTCATTGCAAGTTGTAACTTTCGTGGAATTCTTGCCAAACTTCTGTGTGAACACAAGCCAGTAGTAAGAACGTTAGCGCAGAGCTACGATCACTCGCACAACCCCGTGCCCTCCACCGTAGTCCACTCCCGTTGTGTAGTGACTCTCCGCATGGTGCGGTGAGCGTGGACGGCCCCGCGTTAGAACCTTCAGATAGCCGACTTCTGCATTCATTACCTAAGTTGTTGTTAGGCCGGCAGCCGTCTTAGTCGCCATGGTCGACCCCGTGGTCGAAGCAGGTGTAGAAGATACCCTGCAGGCGAGAGAGGCTGGTGTTCGGGCACGCCACGAGGCTGGCGGGTACGGCGAGGCGGACTTGGAGATTCTGCTCCTTGGAACTCGTGCGCAGTGGGCGCGTGAGCATCCCCCTCCCCGTGCAGAAGCGGACGACGCGTCCGCCTCTCCCCGACCCGTGCACAACGAAGGTGATGGCGGCAATGTTGTCGGCGGTGGAAGCACGAGGGTTCGCGGAGTGATTCGGCCCGCCTACGTCAGCGTTGGCGGAGTGCAGGCGCAAGTGCTGCGGTCGTCTGCCACTGGAGGCAGCTCGAACGTCAACATCAATGGTCGACGTCAATCTCCTCTGCGGAGTGGAGTCGGGCCGACTTCGGCGACTCACGCGTCGGCTGGTCGAGACGGAGGCATCGCACCGGCGAACGGATATTTTAAAATTTCGCCGGACAAGATCGCTGTGCCGAAGCTGCTGGACGGTCGACATGACTTGATCACATGGATCGAATCCATTGAGCCTCAGCTGGAGATCGCAGGGTTGAAGAAGTTCGTCGACGGCATTGTTGACACGCCGGACGCAGACGACTCTGAACTCTGGGCGGAATTTCGCGCTGCTCATCTACTAACCTTCATGGTCATTTCGAGGTGTTGCTCGCCTCTGGTGCAGGTCGCATTGACGTCGTGCAGACAACGGGTGGATGCTGGCTACCAAGCGTGGCAGTACATCATGCGCACCTACAAAGCGACCGACGACCTCTACATCAGTCAACTGGAGAAGAAGTTGACCAACATTCGAATGGGGGAGGAGGAATCGGCGACCGAGTACTGCAATCGTGCGCGACGAGTCTTGGCCGATCTGCGGATGGCCGGCGTCGACTACTCGGTGGCGTCGTATGTCACACATGTCATCAGTGGCCTCCCCTCGGGCTACAATTTGATGCGTCGAATGTTGACGATCCCCGGCACGCGCGAGACCCTGAACGAGGATTCGCTTTCGAGCCACATCATCCAGGACGAGTTCATGCAGGAGTCTGAGCGACCTGCAGAACTGCTTCCGCAGGCCAACTACGTCGCCCCGGCGAAGCAGGGACGCCAACAGGGGCAGCGTGGGAAGTCTGGCGGAGGTGGTGGCTGGAAGTCGTCGAACGCGAAATCGACGGAGGGTGCCGACCGCGGAAAGTCGGCGAAAGGTGGAGATCGCGGCAGCAGTGGCTCGCGTCGAGAAGGCCGCCGCTGCTACATCTGCGATGCTCCCGACCACCTCTCGTACGACTGCCCCGACCGAGACGAGTCTGACGACGACCGGGACGCCAACCGCAGAAAGGGAGATGGTGGCCGTCGTCGCCGGGACAACCAGCCGCGCAAGGAGAAGCAGCCGTCGAAGACGGCTTCGACGAAGGATGCGGACTCCTCTGGCGGCAATACTCGTGGCGAGGAGGCTTCGTGCTCGATGGTCAGCGTGGTAGAGCCGACGATCTCGCTGGCGCTGGAGGCTGGCGAAGACTTCAAGGCGGTCGCTGCTGCTGTGCAGGCGAATCCAACTGTCGTGCTGCTCGACAGCGGCTGCTCCCACCATTTGATGGGGACAAAGGAGGCCTTCGTCGACATGCAGCCGAGCGGAGATGTTCGCCACGTTCGCGGCTTCAACGGGGCACTTGAGAGCGTCGAAGGCAGAGGCACCGTTGCTCTGCAAGGGGAGGCCGGGAAGCAGGTCCTCGTCCCCGACGTGCTCTACGTTCCGGGTGTACACGCGAACCTGCTGTCGGCTGGCCAGCTCAAGGAGAACGGCGTAACGCTGCAGGACGATGGCGGAGAGACGCTGCTGGTGTCTTCTGCCCGCGATGTCCTTGGTCGAGCACGCTACTCCGGCAGAATTCTCTGCACCGACCTGCGCCCCTGCTCGACGAAGTCTACGACGACTTCGACGGAGGTTGTGGCTCTGCGGACGATCGCGCCAGCGACAAAGTTGACCCCGGACATGTTGCACGCGCGGCTTGCGCACGTCGGCGTCGACACGATCAAGAGCTCAGCGAAGAATGAGGTCGCTGCCGGTCTGGACATGAAGAAGTCGACCGCAGATGATCTGCCGTGTACCTCCTGCGTCGGCGGCAAGCTTGCACGGCACACCTTCCCCGACCAAGGATCGGACGCCGAGAAC